CCATATTTACACGGAATGTTAAAATACAATTAAGAGTGCTCAACAAATGTTAATAAGGAGCCTAATATATATTTAAGCAATTTAAAACGTATTCTACAAAAAGAGTGCTCAATGTTCTTAAAAGAACAGAGCAATTACAAATTAGTAGAAAATCACTTAGCAAATTTTTTTCTCATTTAACACTTCTGATTTAATATATATATATATATATATATATATATATATATATATATATATATATATATATATATATATATATATATATATATATATATATATATATATATATATATATATATATATATATATATATATATATATATATATATACATATATATATATATATATATATATATATATATATATATATATATATATATATATATATACATATATATATATATATATATATATATATATATATATATATATATATATATATATATATATATATATATATATATATATACATATATATATATATATACATGTTATGCATATTAGTCTCGAAAAAAAAAAATCAACTCATAATTACACAATGTTGGGCCAAGATGGATTTTGTCATCAATTAAAATTTACTACAGTTGAGTGTGACAAATTCGACATCGTGCAACAAAATTAATAAACTCCTTGAGACACCATAGTTATGAACAAAGATTAGAAGCACTTGGACTGACAACCCTAGAAGCAATAGCAAAATAAGCAAATAGGGGATCTTATAGAACAATTCAAAATCAATTAAAACCTCGAACAAGTAGATTTCTATGTACCACAACATTACCCCTTTTCCAAATCAGCATCATACAACCTAAGACCAAACCACGAGTTTATGCTTCAACCGCAGTTTATATATATATATATATATATATATATATATATATATATATATATATATATATATATATATATATATATATATATATATATATCAAAATTTAATCTTGTGAAGTTCGATTGAGCTCAAAAAGTATGGAGAAAAAAAGGTGAAGCATTCACACTCTGTTGCATTTGAATAATGGTAAAATTTGGTGGATGCAATGTTATGGTCTGGGGATTGATGGCTTGGAGCACAACAGGAAATTTGGAGTTTATTAATGGAATTATGGACTCTGAGACCTATGTCATTATTCTCAATAAAAATTTTCTAGCCTCATCTAAAAAACTGTTGGGAAAACATTTTATCTTCCAACAAAACAACAACCCTAACCATACGTCAAAGAAAGCAAAAGAGTTTTTTATCCAAAAGCAGATTTAGTTACTTGAATGGCCAGCTCAAATCTAGATCTCACTCTAATTGAACACCTGTGGGCTATTCTGTATCAAAAAAGTGGGACACAGTGGAATGTCTAAAGAAAAAAGTAGAGAAAAAGATCATGCTCCAAGATGCTTGGGCTCAAATATATATGACAAAGAAATTAATTAAATCAATGCAAAATTGACTTGCAGAAGTCATAAAAGCTAAAGACAGTCCAACTAGAATATTAAAATTTTAAAAAAGTTTGTTATTGGGAGAAACATTTAATCTTAAAATCTTAAGATTAAATCTTCTTCGGATACTTAACGTTGAAAAGTTCCATACATTAAATGTATCATTAAGTTTTTAACAATTTAAGTTTATTATTGTTATATATATATTTTTTCTTATTAAATCTTAATTAAGTTTGCTTTGATACTAATTGTAAGTTTTTATTATAATAAACTTTTTTTTTTTATATAATAAACATAGCGTTCTCTACTACAGGCCTATTCATTGCGCTACCGGATTTTTTTGTGAAGACCTACTTTTTTACGGCAAAAAAATTATTTCTCCATGTTCAGACCAGATACATTGTCATGTCGTTTATAATATATATTTAAATAATGGAATATAATACAATGTTAATAAACTTATATAAATTAAACATGGAGTTTCAGATCTAATGTAAAGCGAATAATATATTTATAAAATTTAGATTAAATCATCATGCCAAGTAAATATTGTGTGTATGCTTATCACACCAACTATCAAAGTGAAAAAAACAAAATATCTAGCGAAGTTAATAAAATATCAGTGTATTGGTTTCCAAGTGATAACATTGAGCGTGAAAAATGGATAAAAGCTATTCCAAACTCTAGTTTTGTTGTTACCAAGTATACTGTTATCTGTGAGTTACACTAGCCTCCAAATTTTGATACAGTGCGTGGAGGAATAGCGTCGACCAAAATATCCTCCTTCTGTTTGGCTGAGAATATCTTTATCTCAAATTCCAACTGCTAATCCAACTAAAAGAACTACCAAAAGATCTTTAAGTGGCATTAGAAGTACATTAGATGATGAGCTAGATACATTTCTTAAATGGGATAAAGCTACTTTTTGTGACATTAAAAACAAGTTTATCAATAGCAGTGATCACCAATATCCAGTTATATCATTTATGGTTGATGGCTGTGTTGTTATACAATCTTTACAATTTTTTAATGGAGTACCTTTTTTTGTACTTAAAATTTATGAAAATCTTACCTTTGAAACATTTCATTGTAGGATTAAGTGTCACATTTCTAGTTTAACAGTAAATTGAATCATAACTGTTGACACCTAGTCTAAGTTTGATGAGATACTTCGTTTTTTAAGCTCTTTGAAAACTGACAATAAAAAAGAAGTAATTATGCAACATGTTTCAGTTATGGGACCAAAATTAGTTGGAGAAAACTTTATACACCTGAAATACTTATACGCTTTTTTTTATATTTTTTAACATCAAGCATTATATAATCGCTTAAGAAATGATTATAAACTTCCATCTATTTTAACACTGACTTGAATTACTTCGAAAATTTCTAATATTAATGAAAACGAATTTATTTATTCAATTTTTAACTCTCTTCCCGATAAGCAGAAATTATGCATTATACTACATGATGAAATATATGTTAAAAAAAGTTAGCTTTACCATGGTGGAACTATTTTTGGTAGATAAGAGGATAATCCAGTGGAATTGTCCAAAACATTGTTAAGGATTATGGATGTTTGTTTAAATGGGGATCCAAAGGTGTTAATTAAAATGATACCAATATCAAAATTACGATCTGATTTTTTGTTTGAACAGATAATTGATTCAGTGCAAATGTAAAAGTTATTATATGTGATGGGAATCGTGTCAATCAGGCTTTTTTTTAAATGTACACATTTGTTCCGGGAAAACCATTGTTAACAGTAGATAGAAAGTATTTAATTTATGATTTTGTACACCTCATAAAAAATATTCGTAATCTTTGGTTAACTGAAAAAACTCAGGAATTAATATTTGAGGATAACAGAGTAACCAGGATTGCAAAATTGGCTCATTTAAAGCAGCTTTACAATGCAGAATCCAAAAGCTTTCTAAAGTTATCTGACCTGAATGAAACTTCTATTTCTCCTAAACCTGTTGAACGACAGTGTGTATTAAGGTTTTTAAGAGTATTTTCAGAAAAAACTTACGCTGCTCTTTTGCAACATCCTGACATGATTCATATTGATGTTAATGACATTGCTATATTTATCAATAAAGTTATTATTTGGTGGAAAATTTTAAATCTCAAAGCCATTGGTGCTGATACAAGGCATAATGATCCTTTGCAGGCTGTTATCAATAATCCTGATGATAAACGTTTAAATTTAATACTATAATTTGGTGATATGGCACTTAAAATGGCAAGTCCCAAAGGTAAGCGTATTAAACAGCTTTTTAAAGATACTGCAACTTGTATACATCAAACTTGTTATGGACTAGTAGATTTATGTAGATATTTACTTAATGCTACGCAAAATTATGTACTTCTTAGTCAATTTACTTCAGATCACCTGGAAAAAGAATATAGTATACTTCGTCAAGGTTCTGGTGGTACATATTTTCTTAGTGTTCAACAAGTTATTAAAAATTACGTATCAAACATGCATCTTTACTTTTGAAGTTAAATGTAAATATTGACAATTTTAATGTGAAGTCTGGTTATAAATGTGCGTTATGTGATTACAAATTGTTTGAAGACTGATGCAAAATTCTTGATAACTTGCAAGATCTAGAGTCTTCTATTGCTGATGATGTCAAAATGTCACTTATTCACATTGCTGGTTATGTTACACAAAATGATAAAGAACGAACTAATTATGAACTTTTAGATCAAACAACATTCTATTATCAGAAATATGGTCAGTTTTCTAAATTTTTTGTGAAAGATTGTGGTAGATTAAAAATTGCAACTGATAATTCATGCCAATGGACATTTTTTTGTTTTTTAGTTTTTCAAATAGTTAAAGATCTTTAATGCAGAAAATCTTTAAGTAGTATTTTTAGGATTATATCAGACTATTATTTATTGGATATGGAAGAACATCATGTGTAATATTGAGCAACATTTTTTTTTTAAATTTATGTACCACTGTCACTCCAAGATCTGGCAAAGAACCTGCACTAAAATTATTAAAAATCTCTTAAAAGTCTACTTAGTTGTTTACTATTTATAATATATATAGTATATTATTTTAAAAAAGATATATAAAAGTTTTATATAGTAGTTGTTTTTTTTTTCAGATTTTGTTAACAATTTTAATCAAAATTTATCTAATATTTTTTGTTTGGTTTAATAACATTTCTACTTAATAAAAGAAAATATCAATTTTGTATTTAGCTGTTAAAGCCAAAACTAAAGGTGAAATAGTGTAATTATGTAAATGTGTGAAATTTGAAATTAGAAAAAATGTCTTTAATTTACATTGTTTATTACTTAAGATTAATTTTCTTTTTTCATCAAAAAAAAAAATATTATATATAATATACAGATATACAGAGAATGAAAATTACTATTTAGTTTTAAAATTACGAAGTTATAATCTTTTTTGCCGTAAAAAAGTAGGCCTCCACAAAAAAATCTGGTTGCACGATGCCTGTAATAGAGAACGCTATATAATAAACTAATCTTTTTTTTATTTTTATAATAAACTAATCTTTTTGTTACTTTTATTACTTTTTGCATATAGATCCAATCTTCACAAGATTTTTGGCCATGGATGGAGGAGTTTTTTTTGCCACAAGTTTACCCTGAACCATGGTATAACTTGAGTGCTTTCTACTCAAACACAAATAAACAAAATTTTCCTGGAAAACTGTTTTTAAATGATCTTACCTCAAAGATTGTGAATGGAATACGAATTCGTCAAATTCGTGTGCAGCCAAGTAAGATATTTTATTAAAGATTATTGTAAAGTTACATAATATCAAGATTGCAATTTTTATTATAATTTTCATCATCATCACCATCATTATCATTATTAATGAAGAAAGTAATGGTATGAGTTAATATTGAACACAACAAGTTTAACTTTTTTTTTTTTTTTTTTTTTATTTTAATTCACCTCCTCAAGGCCGAGAAGGCCACTATAGACGAGGAGACTACTTATTTGTGGTTATAACCCTCTCTCAACTCAATAACTCCGAAACACGAACCTTGACGAGCAAGGCCGCTGCGCGGAGAAACGAGTTGAGCGCGGTACTACCAGGGACGTGGTGGGGATCGAACTCGGAACCACTCGTTTATGAAGCAAGCGCTCTACCACTACACCACTACCGCATAGTGGTACCGCATACAATAAACTTAGCGATACAATAAGGCTTACAATATAGAAGCAAAATTAAATTTTTTTTAATATATAATTTGGTAGATTCCTGCATCAAAGCTGTACCAATGTCTGATTATATAAAACTGAGCTGTTTATCTCCATATAATCCCACAGTTGAAGAAACTCGTGATTTTTATTTTAATTGGTCACTTCCAATCAAATATAAATCGGCTATCAATCCATTAACAATGCCATGGAGGTATCAAACTTGGCAAGATCTTGATGGTTATCCATATGGTGCTAATTTAGATACTTACTATGGCGGAGGTTATGTTATAGAAATTTTTCCTAAATGGAAGAACCAGGATATAATAAATCAAGCAAAAGATTTCAAATGGATCGACAGGCAAACACGAGCTGTAATAATTGAGTTTGCTCTATTTAATGCTGCTACTAATTATTTTAACATGGTTACCATGGTTCTGGAGTTCCCTGCATCTGGCGGAGCTATTCCTAATTTCTCAGTACTTACTTTTAAGTTGTATACTTCAACCAAAGGAACTGGTGTTGCTATTTTGGGTTCACAAGTATTGTTTATTTTTGTAATGTTTGTGTTTGCTATTCGTGAGTATCGTTTTTTATATAGAACAGGATGGAAGTATTTTTATGAATTTTGGAACTTGGTGGAGTTTGCATTAATTCTATTATCAGTTTTAGCAGTTGTTTTTTTCTTTTTTAAAGGTATTTTTTATTTAGTATTTCTTTTTTAATGTTTTTTCTTTTGTTTTTTCCCTTATTATTGTTTACTGACACTTTTTATTCTACATTATTTATTATTTATTAAATAATGATATTTGTTTATAAATTTTTTTGGAAAACAAATATCTGATTTTATGTTGTTTTTTTTTAAAATAAAAAACAAAGATCATCTGGCCAAGGTGTTATTAGAACGAATGCCTGCTAAGAAACCACAGTCATTTATCAACTTTCAGTTTGCTTCTTACTGGGATTTAACATATGTATACATTGTATCACTTATTGTTTTTTTTGTGACTTTAAAGTTTATTAAACTTTTACGATTCAACTGTCGTGTTTCAATGTTATCGTCGACTTTAAAAGCTGCGTGGTATCCTTTATCGATGTTTGGAATCTTATTTTTCATCATTCTGTGTTCAGTTATATCTTCTTCTAACATTGTATTTGGTAAAATTTAGTTTGAATTAAAATTTGTGATAATAAATGCATGGTTTTTAATTTTTAATTCTGATTTTTAAAGTTTTAAAAAAAATTTTAAACTAAAATTAGATTTAATTGAAACAAAAGTTTCAAACAAAATGATTTCTTTTTAAAATAATAAATTTTTTTTTTAATTATTTATTTTTTTCTGCAACACACTAATTGCATACAGGTAACTGATGAAGCTGTTGAGTCAGGTGAAAAATTTAAAAGGATAGATATCCAGAGGAGTAATGAAACTACTCCTCTGGATATCTTTTTTTGAAATTATTAATTTAATTTTTTTTCTCAATTAACAACAACAACAGCAACAACAACAACAACAACAAGATGTTTATTTTTACTTTTCAAAATTTACATATAATCATATAATAACAACAATAATAATATTATCTATAACAATACAAACAATATAATTATAATAAAATATAACTAATAAGAATAAATATAAATAATTATTTGAAAAGGAAGGTGTCACTCAAACAGAAGCCTGATCAAAGGAGTGACACCAAATAATTATAACAATAATAATTAAAAAATAATGATATTATCTATAATAATATAAATAATATAATGACATGAGTCTCACTCATAATCAAAATGAGTGACACCAATTAATTATATTAAGTATAATTATAAATTAATAATAAAAATAACAAATATAAACCAAAAATCGCTAAAAAAAAAACAAAAACAAAAAATTTACAACAAAGGTTACAAACAAAATATAAAACTACAGTTGATTAAATTATTATATTTTGTACTTTTGGTACAAAACGTAATTATGTAATCAGCCGTAATTTTATTAAAATAATAACATAAAACCCTATCTCTAAAACAAAAACTGAATATACACCAGCCCAACAGTTATGTCATTGCCCTTGCAATGTCGTAAACACAGTTATATAAAAAAAATGATTTAACAAATATAGCAACCATAATATTTATAATTATAAGTAATATTTTTAGAAGTGTATTACACAATTAATTATTAAATTAATCATAAAAATAAAACAAATAAGAATTAAAATGGTTTATTAAATATAAACTTAAAATATTTAAAAATTAAAATAATGCATTTAAATACCAGTAGCAATGACAATAATATTAACAATAATTATAGCAGTAATAATAATATTAACAATAAATATTAATATTTACAATTATTAACAATAATTATAGCAGTAATAATAATATTAACAATAAATATTAATATTTACAATTATTAACAATAATTATAGCAATAATAATTAATAAACTAAGCGACAATTATTACAATAAAAAATAATAATATAATATTAAAAAGTCAATAGTAATTTTCAAACAACAATTTAATATATAAGTACAGACGGGGAAAGTTACAAACAGTATATATTGACAAAATGTAACAGCCTACCACGCGATACAAAAATTTATTGTAAAAAAATAATTTATAATATTAAAAGAAACTAAACTTTTACACACAAGAATATGACATTATAATGACATATATGAGAGTATAATAAAAATAAATGAGAAACATCGCACAAGACAATATAATCAATGCACAAAAATACATGACAATACTAAACAAAGAAATACAAGATACAACAAAAAATGGCAATATTAAACAAAGATACAACAACCAATTAAAACATCAAAAAACTAACAATTAAAATAAATAATAATAATGGTAGTTAAACAATAACGCAACAGCCAAACAAACAGTTAACTATAACAAAAACAAAAATATTAAAGAAAGTTATAAAATCAAACTAAAAGAGTAAAAAAACTAATCAAAGTTAAGAGAAAAATAAATTAAAAAATATAATAAGAATAATAAAAATAAATATTTAATATATATCAAAATAAGTAATCTGATAATAAGTTGTAGTAATATAAATAAAAAAAAGTGTAATATTTAAATTAAGATAAAAAATAATAACTATAAAAATTATCTACTCTTTTAATAAGCTGATCTTTTCTTCTTATCTTCTTATTAACTTATCAACTTATCTCTTTTTTCTAACTATTTTTTTTTTTTTTTTCTTTCTTTTTTTTTTTTTTTTTGGTTAAGTAAAAATCGATGTTCGAATTTTCTTTTATTTGTTTTTTTAAATGTTATTTATGAGTGTTTATTTGTTAAAAGTTTCTTTTTTTATGTTTTTTTTTTTCTCTTCTTTTCTTTTGAATCTTTATTTAAAACAATTGATAATAACTCTAATTTGCCTTTCTTTATTTTCTTTTTTCTTTCTTTTCAACGGTTAAAAAAACATGACCTTACAAAGTTTTCAAAGTTTTTTAAAAATGCACCTGAGTAATCTGGATTTTAATTAAATGCATTGCAGTTAACTTAAACTTTCTGAAAAAGCTGTCATTTTTTTTTTTTTTAAAAAAAAAAAAAAAAAAGCAAATAGGAAAACTTAAAAATATTTGTTGGCAACTAATAAGAAAGTTGTTCAAATAAACTATCTTCAGTAATAGCATACTCTCACTGAGTCCTCTTCTTTACATCCTCTTACTAAGTTCTTTTCTTTATGTCCTTTTGGAATAATGTTTACTACTAACTTTTCATGGAAACCATATATACAATTGATTGCTAAATTAGCATCAGCTAAGGTTGCTTCTCTTTATCATGCTCACCATTTTTTCTCTCCTGATTCCATACCTCTACAAATCTCTTATTTGTCCCAAAATGGAATACAGTTGTCATATTTTGGTTCTTCTAATAATGCTCTTTCTCTTTTAGAAAAGGTCCAAAAACACATTATAAACAAAGTTGGACCTGCTCTTTTTTACAAATACTATCATGGTCGCTGCTCAAAAAAGCTATTATCTCTAGTTCCATCAACTAAAACTCAATCTCGCTTGACTCATCATTCAATAAAGTCTCATTTTTTTACTGAATCTATCCCTGCATGCTCTAAAAACTTTTATTTGTCTAGTTTTTTTCCCCGCACTTCAATGCTTTGGAACTTATTCAAGTCTTCTGACAACTATTTCCTTACTCTATAACTCTATTCTTTTTTTCTAGTAACTCCCAACTTAATAATGGTTGCTTGCAGCCTTGTTTGGAGTGAATCAGAATTAAAAAAAAAAATACTGGTTTGAAGTTTGAAATTTTTTTTCTGACTAGTAAAAATAGATTTCTTTTCATTTTTTCTCAAATAATAACATCTCAAGCATCTTTTTTCCTTAACTTTTTCATAGTATCTGTAATTCATTTTTTTCCAGTGAATTAAAAAAAAGTTTGTTATTTTTACTACTAAATATTTTTTTTCTGAAAACAGCTAACTACTTTACATCCTAATCTTCTGTATTTTTATGACCTACATGATAATCTTGATCTGCATGATGAAACCACCTTAATCTTCTCTGATGCATCCTTACAAAAACAATTTCTATTTTTCAATTTATGTCTTCAATTGTTGCAGTTTTTCTTATCTTATAGAGTTGCGCCACAAATTCATCTAACCATTACTTTCTCTATTCTTTTAAGATCTTGGACTTAAACCTTCATTGTCTCTTTTTTGATGCTATACATCATGACAATCTGGATATATTGTTGTATAATGGAATATAACTTTACTTTAATCTTTAATGATGCACTTGTTACTGTTAAAAATAGACGTAGATTTCTGAACTTACACCAGACACACCTTACTTTTGCTCTTGATATACTGTCAGATCCACTAGTTGATCAAATTATCTAATTAAAAGTATCTCAGAAATCTTTTTTCAGAGATACTATTGAATCAGAATTTATCCAAACACTCTATTTTTCTGTCGTTATTTTTCAATTTTCTCTGTTTAACAAAATTAGATCTTTGTAAATTCAAACTTACAAACCGTACAAATTTCTTACAAATTTTGTAAACCCATTGCTTACAAACTGTACAAAAGAGTTTGCTTAAAAACTGTACAAGAAAGTAAACTTACAAACTGAATTAATTGCTTACAAACTTAGTAAACCCATTGCTTACAAACTTTACAAAAAAGTTAGCTCTATAGCTTTAGCAAGTTTAGCAACTTCTTCCCAACACACTGATTGCAAATATGTGTATTGGAAATATAGAAAAATTATGCCTTTATCTCTTATGTATTTTTAAAGGCTACATATAAATGCATATCTTATAAAATGGTAGAAATTTATAAGGCATAATTCATATTGGATTGGAAAAGTGTTTAATAAAATAATTTCATTAAATCAGGCAATAAAAACAAATCATTAAAAGTTTGATTTTGTTAATTATTATTTCTATGTTTGATTCTAATCTATATTTTCATCATCTGCTCTGTATTGCAGACCAATAAGATTCTCATTTTAAAAAAATGCTGAATTTGAAAAATCAATATTCAACAATTTGATTAAAAACTTGTTTAAAATTTCTTAACATTTTGTGAGAACTTAAGTTTACAAAATTAAATTAACCATAATGGATGGCTAAGTTACTACAGCATTATATACTGCAATACATTTTTTCAGTGTTCAAAAAACAGAAAATCCAAAACAGGTTTTACCCTATCAACCTATCACACCCAACTACACCTTATCATCCTAAAAAAAATGATAAAATAAAAGTATTTTTCTTTTCCGCCTATCAAGAAAAATGTTATTAAGGCAGTAAAGCTAAAAAAAGCTAAGAAATAAAAATAGTATAAACAGTAATTAAAAAGTTTTTTCCTAAAATTATTGAATTACATTGATGTATTACCATATTTCCATTGTATAACTATTGATTACAAATAATATGTAGCAATATCTGGTTACATGTTTTATGCAAAATATTAGTTTTTTATGATTAATTTAAAATCTTTAACATCATATTTAGTAAAACAAAATGACATGGAAAAACAGTTATTAGCATAAAAAAAAAAACAGTTATCACAAATTATAGGGCATTTTTACTGAAATATTAACTCAGTTCTAAATTTTTTTAGGTATTTATATTATAATAGATATTGCACAAAAAGAAGCTGTTTTTTCCATAAACAGCGCATTTTTAACTTGTAGAAACTTTTAGCATTTGGTTTTATTTTTTTTTTATTATTATTATTTAGTTAATTGCTTTAAAGTGTGTTTAAATTAATTTAAATTAACTTAATAGTAGAGAAAGTAAGAATTATTTTTAATATAGGTTAGACAATAGTTTATATTAACATTTGTAATTATATTGTTAATAAAATAATTTATTTAGGTATTTTACTGGATGGGTATCAAACCTACTTTAAAACAGTTGCATCTATTATTTCATTATTGTTAGGAAAATTTAGTTACAGTCAATTTGAAAATGCTAACGCTGTTCTTGGTCCAGTATTCTTTTTTGGTTTCAATGTCATGGTTAATTGGATCATTATGAATATGTTTATATCTATTCTAAACGATGTTTTTGCAGTAGTTCGTTCAAATCTTGAATACCAAAATAATGATTATGAGATGGTGGATTTTATAATAGAGCATTTCAAAGGTGTTTTTTTTTATAACTATATTGTTTTTTTTTTACTTAGTGCCCTCTTTTATTTTTTATTATTATTTTTTTTTATTTGCTATTATAAATTTAAAAAAATCACTAATTCCTTACTTTATTTTTACTTTATTTATTTTAAATAAAAATAAATCTTGAACATCTGAATTTTTTAATTCGATTGCTCAAAGGTTTGAAGGTTCTAATAGAGGGACACATTTGTTTACGTGAAACGGCCACATTACTAATGAGATGTTATTTTTATTTATTATATTTCTAAGTTTTATTCATTATATTCAAGATTGGCTTGGATGGCGTTCTTTGAAGCAAACAGAGTTGAATAATGAAAGTATAGTTTCCAAGTTTGAAGTCGATAATCTTTTGTCAGTACCTTCTTTACGGAAGTCGAAGTTAAACGAGAAACTGTTTGAAGCTGAATTCGAAGAAGGTAACAAATCATGTAAATGATTCTCTTTTGATGGAAGAAGCATTAAGTGATTCCAATAAATTTAAATCAGTTCAAATATGTTCAAATGGAATTTATTATCTTTGGCTGTATAGGCGTATACACAAATAAATATAATGAAATGGTGTTCCTATAAAATTTCTCTCAGAAATTATCATTTAATTAATACGCTGTTACTAAGATATTGACCTTACACATTTAACCGTTTGTATTTATTTAATATTTGTGTATAGTAACTATAGAGCCAGCTATTTTGTATTTTTAATATTGACGTAACAATTTTGAACATAAAACGTTTATGCATGGACCCAATTTGGTTTTGAACTTGCATTTTTGTTAATCATAAAATATTAACTTTTTTCTATGTGCAATCCTCCCTCCGTTTTGTAATTTTGAAAAAATATAAAATGGTTTTCTAATATTTTTACTTTAAGAAATTTTTTCTTTCCTCAAAAGTGTTAAATGGAATAATTAATTCGTAAATATAAATAAAAATTTTAAAGCAAAATTTTTTCCATCATAAATTACAATGAAACCAACCAGAAAACTTTATTTTTTGTTTCGAATAAAAAGTAATTTTGTTCTTAAGAATTTTCTTTACAAATATAATTTCTTTTGTAAGTTATGTTTCTATTGCGTTATCGATTACTTTTAGTTAGTATTAACTTAAATGCTGAAGCTTTTAAGACGTCGAAACAATTTGTATTAAAAAATAGTATCCAGCCTCCTGATTATTATAACCCCCTCTTCCCTTCCCCTCCCCCACTTCATTTTATCGGTAACAATTTTTCGTACGATAATACTCTAGGTTCGATTTGTTTAATCATTATTAAGTAACTGCTATAAGCAGTGACTTACTGCACATATTACAATTTATATATTTTAGAAAAAAACGAAACCCTTTTCTCCACGTTTAATTTATAGCAATTATTAATGTTACATATAACACAGTATAAAATGTCGCTAACGTTTAGTTGAAAATGTATAATTTTGCTTGTGATTGGTCGATAATATGTTATGTTGTTTATTTTTAGTCGAAAATGAAATGTTTTACGATATCGATTCGACCAATACACTGCTTGATGAGAAACTTTCAAAGTACGATTATTTGCTGAGTGAAGATGAATTCGATGTTGAAATTGAGAAAACGATTAACAAGTTTATAAATTGTACGAACCATCTTTATTTTGATGATGCGACAGTAGTTAAAGAAATAATTGAAATAGTTAAAATGGAAACTGAAAAATAGTGAGTATTCAAGATGTGTTCGTGTATTTTAAAGCACCGAATGTTAAAATTATATTTATGAATAAATATCAATAATTAAATTGTTATTAATTGTTTCTTTTGTTGTATTAATCTTTGATATTTATTTCAATTTTTGCATGTGTTTTTCTTTGATATGACAAGAAATTTTTTAACTATATTGTTATCTATTGTAAGCAGTGCCGGATTAGTATTTTTTGGGACCTGGGTCTATTTTAAAGCAAGAGGCCTCTTTCCGTGTCATTAATCAAAAACATCTTTTTTAGATTTTTTTTTTTGAAATTATCTTCTTTTTTTTGAATCAAGGTCGAACCCCCACTTTAATCCAGCTCTGATTGTAAACACGTGTCTACAATGTATATAAACCTATACAGGTTTTTATAAAGCTAACAGTACAGTTAATTTTTAAAAATTTTGTATCAAGGATGTAATGCGTATCTTGTTTTCAAAACAATATAAAACTACAGATTTATAGTATATTTTAAAATATATGGTTTTGCAGATATTCTAAATAGAATAGTTATTAAATTTATTTCAACAATAAATGGTGGTTCATTAATTCAAGAGTGCACTCAAATGTTTCATAACAAAAAAATATGACCTAAACGTTTCATAGCAAACAAAAATATAACATAAACGTTTAATGACAAACGCAAACGTAACATAAACAAACGAAAACATAACATAAACGTTTCATAACCAACGAAATACCCTACTTCTTCCTTTTTTTAAACACTTTTTGAGGTAAAAATTTGAGTTGGAAAAAATTTCTTCTAAAGCTTTATATTTTATATAAAACATTAATATAAAGTAATAAATTTCTAGATTAGCTGTATTTTAATTACGTGCGTTTTTCGGCTTTCTACTGCTAAAGAAAAGTTTTCTTAACATTAACAGCAGATCGTTAACCTGGAGGGGTGTAACTGTCAAGCCTGTTTCTAAAAAAACAGTAAGTTGCACATAAAAGCTCATTGCCATAGGATCCTAAAAGAGTAAAGCTCAAACTGATGCAGGTTTCCAAGCTTTTCCTATCATTAAAACGTTTCATAAATTTTAGACAGTCTCTTCTTACTTTGGCAACAAATTGAAATAAAAATTTAAACGCTTAGAGATTCTTTCCAGCAGTAGCATTGGAAAATTATTTCCACATTTTTTGGCGAAAATACAAGCGGCCCATCAGTCATCTATAATTTAGAAAAGAGCTAGAGATGTGGGTTGTTGACCTTAATTGCAAGAATTTTAATAAATGCAATGAAGATAATTTTAAAAGTGATTTTTCTATTGAGGATTTAATTAAATGATTTGATTTTTTACATTTTTAGGATCCTATGAAGTCTCCACCCCTCCGCTAGGAGGGGTGGAGATGAGCTTTCATAGGCGACTTGCAGTTTTTTTCGGTAATAGACCTGGGAGTCCTCCCCCCCTCCACGTGAACGGTGAGCACTTTTACCCATATTATATGTGGATGTTGCTGCTATATTTGAAAAAACTTTCTAAAAAGATAATTTTGATATATATCACAAACTACTAAAAGGTGATAAAAGTTTAATAATATTATTAATGAATAATTAACGAAAAGTAACATTTAAATTTAACGGTAATTTAAATTTTTATTTAAAAATTTAAACTACCGTAGTTAAATGTGTCATAAAAAATATAATTTTTTTAAGAAATAACTTTTTTAAGGTGGTCGACTGCTAAAAACGTTAGAGAAAACCGATTTTTCAAGTCACATTATTTTATACAGTAACTGTTGTAGAGTCTAAAACTTTTTTTCAACACAAAGAAGTTGCGACGCACGGAAATGAAAAAATCGACCGCAGCGCAACTGTCAATTTAATGAACATAAACGAATAAGCTTTTTTAAATTTTTGATTTAATTCATGGTTTTTATGCATATATTCTTTTTGGAATCTTTTTTAAATTATTCCGCAAAAATGGCAACGCATTTTGAAAATTTTGACCCTTTTGAGAGTAATCTTATAAATATGCTGTCTGAAGAAAACAAAAATATTTTCCATTTTGACACACCGTATATTGATCCTTTTGATTTTAAAATAATAAAAGATCATCGTTCTCTTTCAATTTTACGTATAAATATTAGAAGCTTGCAGCAAAACTTAGAAAAACTAAAAGAATTTTTAAAAATTATAAATTACACGTTCGACGTCATAGCATTTTCAAAGACTTAGCGTGATTTTGAAAATTCTTTTGAATTAAATTCTATTTATAATTTCCCATTTTATAAACTTATTAGTCAACCAAGAGAAAATAGAAAAAAAGGTGGAGGCTTAGGGCTTTATGTTTCAAAAAAGCATCAATTTAAGATAAAAAAACATACTATGCTTCTCAAACGATAATTATGAAAGCCTATTTATCGATAATATAAATAAAAAGTTTCGAAATATCTTAATTGGATGCGTAATCGTCCACCAAGTGATAAAACCAAATCATTTGTAACTTTTATCAAAAATACAATTGAAAAAATAAATAAAACTTCATATGTCGCTGGTCACATAAACCTCGATGTTCTAACACTTGTAAAAAAATGAAAAATTGCTTAATGTCATGACGCAGAAAAATCCTTTGGGGGTATGATTATACTATCATTAATGGTTACTGGGATATAAGTCTCTAAATCTGGTTACACCGTCCGTGGAAAAAAATCCATTTTCAAATTTGCATAAAATTGCATTAAAAAAACTGAAATATATTTGACTCCAGAGCATTAAAAATTATTTTTTTATAACTTTTGCTTTCATTTACTTCATAAATTTTAATAGATTGTGTTAAGCAAGTTGTTTTTCAAAGAAAATAAAAAAAATTAGAGCTTTTTTTATTTTAAAAAAGAATATACGAGTTATCTGCACCAAAAAAATTAAAAAAAAAATCGAAATTGCTTTTTTATAAACTATTATGATAAAATTCTGGGAAAAAGCTTGAGCATTAGTTATTCAATATATTTTTTTCATATATTTAGCATCTGAATTAACAAAATATATGCCAAATCGAGCAAAACCACGAGGAGAACAAGAAGACTGTTTGCTTCTTGTGTCTTGGCAAGGCTAGTCGCTTTTTAGCCAGCTTCATAAAAGAAAAAATCCAACAAATTCTGAAGCAGCTAATTGACTTAAATGATCCAAAAGTCCCAACTTTCATTTTTGATCGCTGTCGCTCCAACTTTAGGAAGTTTGAGCAAGGAAACTTCAAACCCAAGTACAGCTGTTTGACTTCTTCAATATCAAAGTCCATCCTGTTACAAGAGATTCAGTTTGTGATTGTTTGATTTGCTCATAAAAAGAGTGATAATGAAAAAAATTTAATTAATTATTAAAATTTAAATATTTTTACAAAAAACTTACTATAGTAATCAAATCATTGAATGCAAGATTGATAATAAAAAAACGTGGTCCATCATTAATGACATAAAGATAAGGAAAAAAAAATCAACTTCTTTACCATAAAGAATTAATATTAATAACACTGACATATTCTGCAAAAAACAAATTTCGCAAGAATTTAACAAATATTTCATAAATATTGGTCCAAACCTTTCTAATAAAATAATTTCAAAATCTGATTCATTTAAAAACTACCTAAAACCCACAAATAACGCTATCTTGTAAGATAATGAACTGAACTCTAAAGAATTCGAAGAAGCGTTTTCCTCTTTGAAAAAAAAAAGAAAGAACCACGTGTCTAGTGATAAGTACCAGGTTTTAATGAGATATCTAGTGATATAGTTATCTTTAAGGTGGTACTACCCTACATTTTTTATTTTTCAAAATATAGTATTTTTCTTAAAATAATAAACATTTTTAGGTAGTAGTTTAAAAACTGAATATAAAAAACATAATTTTTTACTTATTTGTCACAAAAAAATGCTGAGTTAGCAAAAAAAAAAAGAAAAAAACATGCAGTCACAAGAACATAAATAGCTAGGGTAATACTTGAGATAAAAGCTTTAAATTTTACAAACATATAGCTAAATGGTTGGTTGAAGGCCCCTAGTAGAATTTTTTTAAAATACAGAGCCAAAGTAAAATGACAGATATTAGCCTGTAAAAATCATAAAAGGTGATCCGTGGGGTATGTAAAATTTTAAATTTTGGTCGAAGTAAAAGTATTTTTTGATTATTCTACTACCAGCCCTTTCTACAACATCAATGAACAAACTGTGAAAATTGCATAGAAAAAGAGTAAACAGTTTCTGAGATATCAATGTTCTAGTTTAACAATATTTGAAAAATATTATTCTGAGAAAAACAGCTTTTACAATAAAAAATATATCATAAACTAAAAAAATCTCTAATTAAAAAACATACAAACTGGCCACAAAAATATAATTAACCTCCTTTAATATTTTGTTCTGTGTGAAAATAACCTTTTTACAATACCAATGAAAAAATTGTGAAAATAGGGTAAACATATTAACAGACATGGTTGCTAAGGCCGTTGCTAGGGATTCAAAAATTACCTTGTTGCCTTTAATTTCTAATTTAAGTACTTTATATTAATTTTGAAAGGAAAAAAAAGATATACTCGTGATCCAAGATGTTCAAACTGTTAAAATTTGAAAAAAACTTTTTTTTTTTTATGTTTTTAATAGGGTAGTACCACCTTAACAAGATCAGCCTCTGGTACTAAGGCTCTCAATAATTTCTGGGATTTTCCCTGATAGGCAAAACTAATTTCTATATTTAAATGTTATGAACATTCGGACATAACCAACTATAGACCTATATCAATACTTTCTGTATTTTCAAAACTTTTTGAACGTGTAATTTATAAATGAATCTATATTCACTTCACTAAAAATAAATTATTTTGCCCCAAAAAATTGGATTTCAAAAATATTTCTCAACTGAACATCCAATCATTGAATTGGTTGATCAAATAACTAATGGTTTTAAACAAACCAAATTTAACTTAAGAGTTTTTTTGATTTATCAAAAGCATTTGATACAGTTGATCACTGCATCCTCTTATATAAGCTAAAGCACTATGGTATAATTAATAAAACTTAAATTAATTTAAAAGTTGTCTTACCAATAGAAAACAA